GAATAATTATCCAAAATGACGAAGATATGAGGAAAATGCAGGGTTCCATTTTTTTGACCACCCTGTATATCGCCAATAAATGATCTCCCAGTCTTAAAAGAGTTATATCCTTTAAAAAGTTATGATGCGAGGTTCAATCATTCTTTGCTTGTGGTTCGAGTGAGAACTGCGTGACTTTTTGTATTATGGTGCTTTTAATTCTTCATGTATTATTTTTGAATTACATATGGCTGAAACTCCCTTAATTACAAATTTCATTTAAATTACATTTGGGTACGAAATCGATTCTATAAACAATTAAATTGTATAATAAAAATAACTACATCATGTACATGTAAATAATTACCTAGCCTAATTATAAAAATGATCAAACATACTGAATTGATATCAACATTAAACAGAATATAAACACATTAAACATGTTCGTTCCCTCCCCTCCATTCAATTTTAATATTTTCGATCATTTGTTATGTATTCTTGAAGAAATCGCCTACTCACCCATCCATTCATTTTATCCGATTACCAGGCGTGTTGTTGCCGTTTCGTGATTTATGACTCCTATTATGCAAAGTGCCATTAAGATCCACAATAAAACCATCCACTTCATTGTTAAGCTCATAAGTCGTAAACGTACTTTGCTGAGAAGGTAAGATTTACTAAACAAATTATTTATTTACAATTGAGTTATAGAAATCCCAAAATATTTCTATGAAGATCAATTTCAATGAATAATTTTTACTTTCAAGTTTGTGAATCTTTGACTGGAAGATGGATCTGCCGTATAAATGCATTTTGCTGCTTGTCATGGGATGCAAGGTAATACTAGTTTTCAAAAAAGGATCACACTATAATTATTTTAATTTATATGAACATTTATTTAAGAAATATAGAGCGAAGAGCAGGGGTAATACTAGTATTGTCGAAAAACCCCTTAGGGCTAGGCACAAAAGCTTTCGGTCGTTCGGGGTACAGAAAACGTTTGTGCCTAGCCCTATGGGGTGTATTCGACGATATTACCCCTGCTCTGAGGTCCATATTATGATTCGAACATGAACACTCGCCAAAATGTTTCGAATATTCATATGGTCCGCCATTACTACGATCCGCCGTTATGACGTCACACATTACACGTATTACCAGGGGTACTCTTCGCGAATATACCCCGGGTGAAATCTTGACTTTGTTTACAGTTTAGAAAGCGTGAATACAGTCATGTTTGAATTGCTTATAACCACCAAATAATATAATAATACAACCAACACATAATGACGTCAAATGTCAACAGTTGGTTTAACAGAGATTTCATTTTTAACATCTAATGGCGGCATTAGGCATTAGTATATAAAATTTGAACCAAACCTGTCCACTGGAATTTTTTACGAAAATGACGGTTATTTTGAAATTCAGCTGTCGTCTTGGAAATATCTTCCCAAGCATTAATGGCGGTCATTTTGAAAGTCAGCTGCCATCTTGAAGATTCTTTATCGATCAGAGCTAATTGTGTCGTTGAGCATCAGCATTATAAAATTTGAACCAAATCCATTCACTGGTATTTGAGTAATCAAAGATTACATTTTCACAAAAAAATAGCGACCATTTTGAATTCCGTGGCCATCTGAAAAATCTCTTCTCTGACAAAGCTCCTTCGTCCCTAGACATCAGCAACAAATCCGTCAACTAGTTAGGTAGTTTAGGTTTTGTGGCAAAAATAGGGTCTTATCATAGTTGTTTGATGGTGAAAGTAAAAGGACGTTAGTTTTTTAATGAGGCAGTGCCGAGGCCCTTAATTGTTTTAAATTATTCGAATACTAACTTTATTTACAGTTGATTACTGCATGTCGTCGTAACAACACATGTCCATTTGGTAAGAAATTAAAGTTATAATTTATAAAAAAAAATTTACTTTCGTGATTTGTTTATAGAATCTATGAAATCATAATATAAAAGGATGCATACTCTAATATAACAGTATTATCCCACCCTAAGTGCTTTATATGATTGTATAATACCATTGTATAACTGCAGTATAAAACCAACACTCATCGTATACAAGTTGTATAATACAACTCTTGAGAACGATATACAACTCCTGGATAGCATATACAACTCCTTGGCAGCGTATACAACTCTTCGACTTGATATACTGCTGAATTTAAATTAACCTTTTGTTGATTAAAGATTAGGTTGGGATAATAAGATCATATAATGGTAGATTCTGTATATCGTTATAGCCTACTATCGTGAGTATATGATATATTCACTCGTTCCCTTCAGTCACTCGTGAATATATCATATACTCACTTGAGTATAAACACGAGATTTTGGAGTTTTCCTTGATATATAGTATATATCTTTTTTTGACTCCCTGATGTCATTACAATGACATATTAGTCGAAAAAACGTAATTCAATGATTTCTCGTGAAATACAGAAAATATTTTGCCCGAGAAAATCTATATTTCACGAGGCGTTAGACTCGAATCATAACTTATGCCACGGGGTCCCAACTACGATCGTTAATTTGAATTTTAGACCTACCAATTGTTTAAAAATCAAGGATTGTGAGTCTTATACTGCACAGTCTCATATTAGTATTTTCAAGAGAAGAGGTGTGTTCGTTGTAGTGATGTAGTTACAATCTTGCATGATGCATGAATTGAATTTTATAAGCATCTACAAACGTTTTTACATTAAAAACGTTTTAACATTGCTGTACTATTCCTCTTTAGCCATTTTCACATGTGATGGAGAAACAATAATATTTGACTGCGAGTTGTCTGCAAAGCTAATCGCTCCGGAAAGTGTACAATTTGGATTTGAAACTGGTTCCAACGAGAGATGCATAATTCCGGAGGGATCCATTCCAACCTCCGGTGTAAGCGAGGATGGAGAGTATTACGTCAAAATGGAAGCAACATATGCACGAGGACGGGGTAATGCCGACAAATGTCAAATAAAAGTAAGATTTGTCAATGTGATTTCATACAATTTTGGGTAAAAAAGCTTCGTAGAACATCATAATTAAGGCTGAAAGTAAAACTTAACAAGGAAACGTATTTGTGTTCGGTGGTGTAATTTTCGTAGACTGGGGTTTACCCTGCGCGCAGAGTCTAGTAATAAACTAAAGAGGAAGCTCTCTTTGAAGAAGTGAAGTCGAACTGATTCAAATGGTAATTGAGAAGAAAAACTATTTTTCGACAATTTAGGCTAGTCAAAATATTTTAACAAAATTTTTGAACCGAGACTTGTATAAATATACGAGGGGTGATCAATAAGTAATGGACGCTTTTTTACACAGATAATTTTTATTGACCAATACCTTATATTTCCCTACCAGTGATACATCATTCAATTATCTATCAATCCTGAAGATTTGAAGACAAATTATATAATACATGTTGATATATCCTTATTTCCGTGAAGGAGGTACAGGTACCCCGGGACTTACATTTACGTCACATGTTCAGTTATTAGCCTGTTTGGTAAATTTGAGTTAGATTTAAACTTTTTGTATGCAAGAAGTGTTGTATTGTTTGAAATTTTTTGCCGACTGGTAACACATTAACAGAAAGTATTGTAATGTCAGAGTCTTGTATGGAAAGGGTTTGCAGGTCAATTTGAGAAAGCATTGTGGAAGAAAGGGGTGGTGAGAGAAGAAAACACCCTACTCCATATGGACAATGCACTTGGCCACAGATCCCTAAATGTTCAGAAAACAATATTCCTTGACCTCAAAATCGAGCCCTTGGCCAATGCACCACATTGTCCAGATCTGCCCACATGTGACTTATTTATTCCTATACTACTTATTCTATAGAAAAAGGATGTAGGTTTTGACATTGCTGAAATAAAAGAACCCATGCAACTGTATCTTGCTACCATGTCAGAGAATGGATTCAGCCTTGTCTCACAATCTTGAGTTAAGAGGATGAGGAATTGTGTACATGTAGCACTTGATGGAACCTATTTAGAGGGCCCTGTGGAATGAATGCGGCATGAATACCACATAGTGATAATAAATATTCAAAATCAACTATGGGATAACAAAATGGGGTAATTCATGACCATAATGGTTTGTTTTGTTCAGCCTGCATTCAACTGCATTGCATGTTAAGCAAGCTAAAATAGCTTCAGAAAATGTGACGTAAATGTCGGTCCCGGGGTACCCATACCTCCTTCACGGAAATGAGGATATATCAACATGTATTGTATATTTTGTCTTCAAATCTTCAGAGTTGATAGATAATTGAATGATGTATCACTGGTAAGAAAATTGAAAGGATTGGTCCATAAAAACCATCTGTGTAAAAAAGCGTCCATTACTTATTGATCACCCCTCGTATTAAGTGTTTTTGTTTTTAATTGTGTCAGATAAATAGTAATAGTAAAAATAGTAATTATAATATTCGTATATTAGTAAAATTTCCCTGGATATCATTTTCAGACTTTTATGATTTTTGTTCGCTTTGCAAACATCATTCTAGGCTGATGTAGAAGAAACAGTTGTCGTGGCAACGGCACCCAGTATAGGGAGGATACGATTCCGCGTGCTTCCATGTCGTAGAAGTGCTGAGCGCATGTCATTCTTGGCAAGACCATTTGATGAGGCGTTACCATTTGATCCGTAAACATTTAATATATCAATTTAATGTTGATTGTTTCCTAAAACCACATCGCTATGATCGTACTTCATATGGGCGTAGCCAGGGGTCCGTTTTTGGAACCGCTGACCCGTTCAACCTTAACATTTGGTCGTAAGTTACGATCGGCTCAAAAACGAGCCCATAGGATCTCAAACGGCGAGAAAAATAAAAAAGTAGAAAATGGCAATTAATGCCATTCTACGAGGAGATCGCCTGACTGGCTACGCCAAAGGGTGCATATACAGGTATATGGGCCGCCAATTTTTATTTCACCTTAAACCAAACTTGGGTAGCAACACAATAGAATGAATTGTATTTTATTTTTAAGAATTCCCAGCAATAACAAAGATGATCGCATAAATTATTTTTTGTGGTTTAAGTTAGATCATGGGCTTTCAAATAGACAATTCGCCTTGGGCCTTTGGAAAAATAATGGTCTCGGGGCAAGCCTCTTGGACATTATTTTTCCAATGACTCATTGTTTATCCATCACATGAATTGAAAAGCGATGATACGACTGAGGTCTTTGGAAATTGGAAAGAATATTATCGATTTTTTGACAATAGCCACATATGAAGACCCAAGGTCCAATACTTCACTTATTTGCCCGCAGAAATGACGTTACTTGTATTATTACCACCGTTTAATCCAGGAAATATTTATAATTTCGAGGCATTGTTGATGTAGAGCTAAACAGGAATTGTATATTAACTGTTCTATCATTTATATGATTTTTGATCCGTATAGCCCAAACTAATTGAAACATCATCTCCATTTTCCCTCCAAACCCCACGATGGTCTGCCTAAGTCATAGAAAGGGAGGTGCCGTTAAACATGTATTTAACTGAATGGCCTTATTTATCCGCTTATTATTGCGACTCTTGGTCAATTATCATAATCGTATCACATTGCTTTCATTCAGATGTCTATGTAAAAATCGTGGAGAGTGTGTACGTGATGAAATTGGACTAAGGGTGGATTGTAAATGTCAAAAAGGGTTCACTGGAGCTCGATGTGAGCTGCCAAAGTCTCAATATAGTAAGGATTCATGTTATCACACATTTGTACATGTATTTACAAACTACAATTAAAGTTCAACAGAAATTTCTTAAAAAGTGGGAAATGCATTTTTCCAAAATATAAATTATTGCTTACTTATACTTACTACTTAAAATATTTGTGTTCATATGACTTTGATTAGTATTCCATTAACATGAACGTTGGAATCTACAGGCTTGCCATGTAATAGGCCCTCAACGAACCCGTCTGGCGCTATAATATGGTGTGGGGGAGAACGGAGACAGCAGTGTCCGGAAAATACATCGTGTAAATTCATCGATGGTCAGGAGTATGGCGTATGTTGTCCAGTAAGATAAGGTATTAAAAACTTCATCCTTGCTGATTTGGTCGTTCATGTTGAATTAACTATTTGAGTCTATATCTTAGTATATCTGTATATGTGCAAGTATGTAAAAGTTTAACGAATGAAATATTGAAATCGTCCAACAGGAAGTTGCGTTAATTAATAGCAAACGGCTAATATTTCAGTAGACGGCGTTGAAAATGTGACTGAAGAACAGAAACAACCACATGGATCATTCCTTCTACTGTATCTTACATTGGGAAATAAAATTATAATTCTAGCAAGACTTATCAAATATGTCCTTGGGTACTAAGTTTTGAGGTAGAATAGGGAGATTTATACATATAATAATTAAATTCTGCATTTTGTACACCGCACGAACTGATGAAGCAAAATTCATTTACATGATGAGAAAACTTACAAATCAACTATGATTTCCCGGATACATTAAAATATTCGTAAGTAGATTGCCAAAAATTGATTCAAATTATGAATCAAACATTATACTCTTGAATTCAAAAATCCCAGATAACTGAGGTCATCATTTACTTGTTTATATACAAGGTGACCGGAAAAGAAGGAGACCATTGAAGTAGGCAATATCTCCTAAAGTAAGATAATCCTTCATTTCCATACACCCCGAACTTGAATCCACCTTTTTTGTAGGGCCATTTGAAAGACAATGTATACCAATCCTTAGAAAATGGCTGACCCAAAGAAGGCAATTCCTGCTAAATGTTATGCCATAATAAGGGTTGAATGGGGTAAGGGTAATTGACAATTTTGCCATATGAATCGAGCGCTGCCTTTTGCTCAATTGCGCCCATTTGGAGCATGTAATGTAAATGATTAATGAACCAGTTGACTGGTTCTATTGAAACTTTCAGGAACAAATATCCATGGTACTGTTCTGATGTGTGCAAAATTTCATCAAAGTCACTTGTCTAGTTTAGGAGATATTGCCTACTCCAATGGTCTCTTTTTTCCGGTCACCCTGTACCTTTGTCTTAAGCCTGAAGAGAAACAGTTATTCATATTTTTTATTGTTTGTGTCTATGTTTGACAGTTATTTCTTAGCCAACAGGGATGACAGATGGATTAGGATGAACTCCATGAAGACATGTTACAGATAAATTAACCCCTTTGTAGTTATTATGTCAAGGAGACCTTAGTGCATATGTAACACATTTAACCGTATACACGCGTGGTATATGCATTCTTATAAAGGCTTTTACAATTAATTTTTATTCTAGATCACACTTTCGAAAGTATCTAATATATATCGGGTTAACCAAATTATTTTGATTTTGAAATAATGTATCATACAATAAAAATGTGTTAATATTCACACAGTTTTGAAAATATTACACATTTTATTAATAAATGGTTATTGTAAATCACGAAAATTCTCATGATATGGAACTACCTTAAAATGTAAATATGATAATACAATCCATATGACCTTGATTAAATGATGTAGCAATATACCAATTTTGAATAAATTATTTTGACTTGAACAATATTTGATTGGAATAAATTGAATTAAGAGCCCATCTGGAACATACATGAAAGGACCACAATGTGACATAGTATGAATGTATGGATTTGATAGTTTGCCTGAGGAACTTGATTGCCCGGCTTGGTTGGCAACAGAACTGCTCAATGGCTGGTATTCCCTCAAAGAGATAAAGCACAGTTCCATAGCCAGGCCTGGCTAAAACACATTTCAAAATCATGCAGTTTTCCACCATTTCAAGGATTTTTCAAGTGATTGTGGGCAAAAATGATCATATTTGAGAAATATAGACTATACCTGAGCATTGAAACTCAAGACACATACCTTTATGGATTCAATAGAACTTTCCAATGAACCCCTGGGTACCTTCTGCTACACCTGCCCATAAACTTAAGCAAGAAATATATTGGCTAAACTTATGATGTCATGGGATGTAGGTAGTAAAGCTTACATTTAGATTCAGTGAAATTGATTATCCTTGTCAATTTCATAATTTCAAGATGGCCGTTCTTCTCTCATCCCCTGGTAGCATATTCATCAACAATATGATCAAAATAAGATTCAACTTTTAGTTATATGCTATATTTTTCATACTGAATATTAACACATTTGTTAAGTTTAAATAAAATTGTTTATCTTTCCAATTTACAGTCTTTCTAAGAATGGAACATTTAAGCACAGACAAATTAAAACTAGAAAACAGCAATCTGTCTACTGGAATTTGAGTTATCAGAGATAACATTCTTATGAAAAATGTCTTCTTGAGCAAAGCTCCCTTGTCCCTAGGCATCAGCATATAAAATTTGAACTCTGTCAACTAGTTTTTTAATTGTCAAAAATTTCATTTTTAATGAAAAATTGTGGCCATTTTGAATTGAGAGGCCATATTGAAAATTCCTTCTCAAACAGAGGTCCTGAGGGCATAAGCCTATAAAACTTGAATGAAATCTGTCACCTGGTATTTGAGTAAGAGGGACGGTTTTTCTCTATCCCCTTGAACTTGGTTCGGTAGGATAATAAGATTGAAAGGATGAATGTACATTTTCAGAACAGCCATCTTGATTGGAATTGCAAGATGTCAATACCCTGCATGCCTGCAGTTGAATTCTTTTTCCTTTTTTATAATTATTTTCCATGTGCGAAAATTATTCAAGCATCAGGCTCAGTGCTTTATGTGTGCCGTATACCACTTGCTTATTATATGCCAACGTTTAAACTTGACATTTTGTCTTGGTTTAAAGCAAGCAACAATTAACTTGTTTGATGTATATATTTCATAAAAATGACATCTGGGTCCAGCTGTTAAAATAAATTTCTACATGTTTTTTAATGGAAAATTTATAACAAAGATTACTGAGGTAAAGACATTTGTGTGGCAGAAGTTGATGCATGAAATTTTCTATTATGCCTCGTCAATGCAAATGGATGTCCAAAGGCACAGAAACAAATATTGCATTTAAATGGTTTATCCCCAGTGTGTGAATTCATATGAATAGAAAGGTGAGCCTGGCTCCTGAAGGCCTTTAGGCACAATGTACACTGGACCTTATTTTTTACTTTTCTATTTTGTCTCTGGTATGAACTAGGTGATGTTGATTTGTTCATGTGAGGGGCTGGTTGCAGTGGATGGTGTTTCCCAGAATGCATCAGGAGTGGAGTGAGTGAAGCATGCTGGTACCTGAACAGATCCCTTATCACATCACCTGAAAATACACAATAAAGCAATATTTATATGGCGATGAATAGGATGGAGCATGATGGTGCAAAATAAGACAAATATACATGTTTACCCTATGACAAGTGAGGATGTCTATATTTCCCTCAGGATATACACCATATCCAAACTTCCCGTAACAAACCCTCATATATCACCAATGATCTCCCAGTCTCAAAAGATATATCCTTCAAAAATGTCTTCTGTGAGGTTGTATAGCTCTGGGGTGCTTCTAATTCTCTGATGTGTTATTTTTGAAAAAAACATATGACTCAAACTCCCTGACTTACAAATGACATTACTGTTGTTCTTTCAATAAGTCAGAACATGGGCTTTCAAGCTATAAACAGTAAGCCTGTTATTCCAATTGAACATGAACTTTATTGCATATAAATAAGCGTGTACACATTAGATATGAATCAGAAAATGTGGTGAGACATGGGATTTGAACCAACAACCTTTGCATTTTCTTGGCTATGTGAGAAACGTGAGAGTTATCCTGAAAACCCATGGTCAGAAACACTACTCGTTTTCTATGTGACATCTGTATAACGATGGGGTTAAAAGATTTACACATCCTCCTCACCTTATTATCCCTATTCTACTATAGCAATCATACAATATCCCCATTATTACAGAGTATAATGATATTTGATAAAAAAAAATGGTGATTGAGTGTTCAACATGTTTACTCAGTTTTAGCAAGCATACAAGAGCAGAAATCAAAAAACTTTTTGAGCAACACTTGTATAAAGTAAAGTTTTGCCTTTTTCAGGAAATGTGCCCAATATATTGCTCCAGATGATACAATTTTGAAAAATTTCATATCATTCTTAGAAAAAGAATCGATCTATTTTCCTTTTAACTACAGCCATTATTGTTTCAGACGATTTTTTCACATTTCAAAGATTGTATCATTTAGAGCAATATATTAGACACATTTTCTGAAAAAACAAAAGATTCTGTTCATTGACCTTTCCTGAGCACATACTTTTAGCTATTTTTCAGTCACATTTTTAGAGGGCTGAAAAGGTTATTTCATCATGTTTATGGTCATTCTGACCTTTTTCATTGTGTTCCCGGTCATGTAAATGATATATGGAACTAGTTAAACTGACTGGAGGTCCAAACAGAACTCTGTTATCTTGGTTCAAAAAAATTTCAAAATCCAGCAGGTTTTGACATTTTTTGTTTTGTCATTTCCTGTTAACTTTCATAGCACCTTAAGACAAATTGCAAATGTGAGTCTCAATGTCTAAATCAGATGGAATGTCAAGTGTAATGTTTGTTTTCAAATAGAATATAGGTTTTCTAAAAAACACAGGGTTATTCAACATACATCAGAAAGTGTCTCTGAAGACCCCAAAGGACAAAATATCACAGTGTTCCTCCTTTACCAACACGTTGTTACATACAATATCTCAATGTGACTCCCGAAGAACAACATCAAAGTTTCTTTACCTACATATGTTGCCCTTCGTGTACCAGTAAACCAAGCTGGTGCCTCTTAGTGTGCTTATTCAATGTGCCAGGGTTTGGGAAACTCTTTGGACAGAGCTTACATTTGAATGGCTTCTCTCCAGTATGGATATTCATGTGGTAGCCCAGTGCCTGCTTTCTCATGAATGTTTTCAAACATATAGGACACTTCACTCGAGGTTTTTGAGTTCTTAGGTTCGGGGGTGTTTGATTGATGGCACGGCTCATGTATGGGTTGTCCCCACCATATACATGGGTGTCACCACTGCTGTTCCAGTATCTGTTTGTACTGCCTGAAAGTAAAAAATCAAGATTAAAAATTATTTTATACTAGTCGTATTTTTAATAACTATTATTTGTTTGCAGGTAGTTGGAATAATATTTTGAATATGGTATCAGGATCCTTACTGGAGAAAAAATAACTAACTAACTAAAATTAAAATGATTTTCTCAATTTATCTAACATCTATTTTGTAATCAAACATAGACCTTAATAAAAAGGTTTACTTTATTTTCATATTTTTTTGTTGTTTTAACTTTTTGAATATTTTTTGTTAAATGAACTTAACTTTCCTTTGTACATAAAGGACTGTTTGCTTACAGAATATTTTCAATTATTGGTTTAAGAAAAAAAACAATGTTGAATTCAGTTCACCACATCAATACCAATCCTTTACTAAAATTAAATCATAAACTCTAATAATATAATACACTACTAGACATTTTTTATTGTTTTTTTACAATTGTATTTCAAACTGTACTGGTAACAAGAATAACTGAACTTCCACAGGCCTAACTAGGCTGAATTATAGAAAAAAATGACAGAAGTGCAAACATACAGAATTGATTTAAACATAATATAAAATACAGAAGCAGCATGTTTAGAAATGCAACTTCATATCAATACAGCATGTGTGCAAAGAGAAATGAAAGCCCATTTTCTATTATCCATTATATTCTCCATGCTGGCTTTTCAAATGACGTTGGAGGTGAGCCTTCTGTCTAAATGATTTATCACAATATGTGCATACAAACGGCCTCTCCCCAGTGTGGATCTTTATATGCATAGACAGATTTGATTTCAATGTGAATGTTTTACAACAAAGGTTACAAATGAACTTGTTAGATTTTGATTCAGCCATCAATCTTCCAGGTGTGTCACTATATTTAATCTGATTATGTCCCTCAATTTGAAAATCCATGTCTCTGTTAAGTTTTGTTGTTACGCCTGTTCCAGTCTCGACACCATCATATGGGAATATGGAACTAACATTGAAGCCTTTAAATGGATGTCTAATGCCTGAAATCAGAAGTAATTAATATCAAATTCCTTAAAGTTGAAGTTTAATTATTTAATTTCATTAAGTTGAATTTCTCCAGTGTGGGTCACCTTTAAAAAGCTGTATTTGGAGTAAACATAGGGCAATTGGTTCTAATGCTAATCAATGGGAACTCATTTTTAGGTTAGAAAATTGACATATATACACAAAGTAGTTCAACATCATTTAAAATAGTCACATCTAATGGCAAAGGTGTCAAACACAAAAACGTGTAACCATAAACAAAAAGTGATGATTTCTAAAATGTGATTTTATTTCTAGGCTATTTTATTCTGCATCATCATTTATTATATACAGGTATATAAAATAGGTACTAGTTATAAACACATTTAATTACTTAGAAATATAGAGTAAAACAGAAATGTAACCCTCTTATATTTCAATAACCTAAAAAAATAATTGGTTCAAATCTCAGTCTTGATGCTATTAAAATACACCATTGATCCATCAGTAAAATAATGTCATGTACAGTACAATCGGGAACACTTACTGTACTTCTACTTAATTTTAACAATTTGGCAGATCTGCCAAATTAAAACAGCCATCAAATTAGGTAGAAGTACAGTATTTCTAATAAGGAACACATGCCTACAGTGAATGATGTAATATGGCAATAACATATTCTTCCATTGACTCTCATGTAAATTAACTTGAGTTTGTATTCAACACCATATTGTGAACAGTCAGAATTCACGTATAAGTCAAGTCAAATATTGAATTAGAAATGAACTATTAGTTCCTACACAATTTCTGCAGGTGCCTTATTAGAGCTAATTGGTTACCCCGAGACAGTTTAATGATTAACCAAAAGTTCAGATGAAATAGGGCAAAATGCTATGAAACCAGATCATTTTGTATCAGTCTGTCTATGCAGCGATGCACTGTATAAGGAACAGGTTTTCTCAGCACATACAATGTTCAGTATATAGGGTATACAGGTTTTGCTGTTAACGAGTATTGTAAAAAACACATCCATGCTTTCTTTGCAGGTGAGTTTTGAGATGTGCCTTTTGGCGAAATGGTTTGTTGCAATGTGGGCAAATAAATGGTTTTACACCAGTGTGGATCTTTCTGTGTTTTGACAGATTTGAATTACAGTTGAATGTCTTACAGCACAGCTCACATGTAAAACTTCTAGAGACTACTTGAGATTGATTTGGTTTGAAATGTATAGTTTGTCCTTTGCTTGAATTGTAACTTTGACCTGCATCATTTCCAGCTGGTAGCTCATACAACTCAGGAAATTGTTGAATTCTGTGACGACCTGAAACAAGAAAACACGTTCATTATCTAATGATATGAAACTCATATTGGTACAGCTTGTTTTTCAGAAGTGTGTATCACATTGAAATGTTTTTTTTCCAAAACAAGACAAAGGTTAACACACAAAGTCAAATTATCATGCAGGATTTACTCATAACAAAATGCTTAAAGCCTTAAGGAAATTATATATCTAATTATGGTTATTCTTCCCTCTTACTAAAGATCCATGTATAACAAAAACACACATTTCCATGTAAACAGTGGGACATTTTATGGGACTATCCGCCATATGCTAAACCAATATAAATATGATGTACATGTACTGCTCATCATCCTCCGTAGGCAGGGCTTCAAAATCCAGAATATCGCTACGGATTCTGGACACCTGCTTAGGAGGATGACTGCCCATAGGCTACAAAACTAAATCCAGTTACCTTGCTAAACACACTTGGGGACAAAAAAATCAATAATTCCCATGAGACATTGTAAAGCGAAATAGTTCTTAATGAGAATACCCCATGAGAAATATCCATCCTCCTAAGCAGGTGTCCAGAATCCGTACCTCCTTCTTCCCCCTGCTATAAGCAGTTAGCATTTTCCCGATTAAGAACTTGCAATTTGATTGGCTGTCGCAACACTGCGACAGAAATCATGTATACGTCATCGGCGCATAATAAGATCACGTGATTTAGTTTAATCGGGCGCGTCCAACTTGGTTATAGCAGGGGGTAAAAAGAAAGAAGATATTCTGGATTTTGAAGCCCTGTGATCGGAGGATGGAGAAATATCAGGCATCCTAGACTTCTGAACATCAGTTCTGACCTCGCCAACTACGTTCTTAGCACTCGAACCACGATTCTTACAAAATCTTATGTCATGCACCACTGCACCACCATTTCCTCTTTCCCGAACATATTTCTCCACTCATGAACAGAGATTTTAATGAGCGCAAGGAACATAGTTCGCAAGGTCTGAACTAATGTTGGCGTTGTTGGAAGTCTAGGAGGCCTTAATAATAATATTATTACTGTGAGATAATCATGTGTTCTTGCAATATTGGCCACTTTAGCAAAGTAATGAAGGCAAGATAGTTCAAACAAACTATTTTCTGATCATTTGTTTCTACATTCAACCACATTTTATTTTAATGCCCATGGCTCTAATTGTCATAATGTTGCCTTGAGTATATAACAGTCTTATATTTGTTTGATAATGTATCAAAAAGGTAGAATCATAGGGTTCCATCTTTAACACAATTGAACTTGGATAAATCTATGGCGGGACAATGCAAGTCGCATAAATGCAAAGGTTAATAAAACTGTTATATATACATCAACATTTTTTTATTTGTAAATGAAGAGTCATTACAGTTGACTTATATCTTTTTTTTATAAATACACTCATCGTATTCTGGTATACCCCTGTTAAACCTGTCTGAGTGGAATACCTTGTGTCTAAGTTTTCTAAAAATTTATTATAAAATCATATTTCAATTTGTCTGGCATTTTTTAAGTGGATATTATAAATACCAGATTTGGTATAAGAATTATATGAATTTGCACAATCTCTATAAATATCATTATAATAAATGAAATATAATGCCAGCACAAGTCATATTACTTTTGGAACACCCGTATCCTGTTCTAGATTCCAATGTTTTGAAGTCAGTGCTTGCGTTTCATGTGATTTTTCAGATGTGCCTTTTGGCGGAATGTTTGACTACAATTGGGGCAAACAAATGGTTTAACACCAGTATGGATCTGCCAATGTCTTGATAGGTTTGAACTTGAATTGAATGCTTTACAACAAAGGTCACATATGTGTTTCCTTGGAGATGCTGCAACAACACCAGTAACATGTCCAACTTGGCAAAGGTCTCTTGCAATTAGGTCTGTTCTATAGGGTCTCATTACATTACTTGCTTGACCTGAAACCAGAAGTTATTCACTATTATCTTAAATGAAAGGGATGGAGATAAATTGGGATTAAAATTACAATATTTTCACACTCATTCCATTTCATGCCTATTTTTCAACAGTCCAACAGTTCTGACTAAATTCAGAATAATCCTTCTATTTTTAATGTTATCTGGCAAACAAGTGAAAAGAGGGACACATAAAACCATCTCAATTCTATTCTTTCTTTCAGAAAGATTTGAACATTTTACCCTCTCTCTCCCTTCTAATTCGTCTAACCAATATAACCAATTGTCATGAGATATAAAATACCTGGTGAATACACATAAACAATACAATAACATATTTTTTTAGCGAGTAGATTTTTTTAACATCCACTTTACAAGAATTACAAAATGTTTTCTTAATTCTCAAGAATGACACATTTATTTCAATGTATCTGTCTTCTGTTAAATGTTGCCCATTGAATTAAGGTGGGCAGAGTATAATTAATAATCCGAAACTGAATTTTAAATTTTACATCTAAGCTTGCAATGTGGGCATCGTGTAAAAAAGAGTATGAACACGCAAAATATCACTCCCTGCCATTTGTAACAGACCCCGGCTGCCAAATGCCCTTTGTTACAGATGCTGACTGCCGAACACCTTCCACAAAAAGTTGGAGACTAAGCAATATGTCACCATTTTGGTGATGACATAGAAATATTATTCTCTCTTAAGCATGTTAAGAGATCAGATCATCCTATTATTGTTGATGTGTCTTGCTCCACCTCTGCACATATAAAAGTGATTAACCCAGTCAGAAGTTTCCCTCAATTTTATGTACAAGTCGTGTTGATTATTTTTATATGAGCATTTATTTTACTTTTTTGTTTACATTTATTGTTATTATGATAGTAGATCAAAAAAGGAATTGATGAATCATTATATACTAGTCATAGTCATATCCACCTAGTCTGTATAGTTTTTTAGTTTTCAGTTTTTTATGCATCAATGTTTGCCTTTAATGTGATATTGAAGATGTGGTTTTTGGCGAAATGATTTATTGCAATATGGGCAAATAAATGGCTTTTCGCCAGTATGGATCTTTTTATGCCTGGATAGACTTGAACCTGAATTAAATGATTTACAGCACAGCATGCATGTGTATTTCCTAGTTGTTTGTGAGTCACATTGTGATGTATTGCTGCCAGTATGGTGCGCCTTTCCACTGTAGCGCATTGTAGTACTTGCCCCCATCAATTCTCTAATTAGTGTGTGATGCCCAGATAAAACTCCTGCTTGACCTCTTATTTGACCTGCAATCAGAAAAGCTTGATTGATATTTTCTCAATTTTGAATTGATAAGATATGTGAGGGAACATGATATTCCATATTAGGCCTTAGGGCCTATTATCAAATTCCTTCAAGTACTTTATCTTTTAATGAAGTACTGTAAAACCTGTCTTAGTGAATACCTCTCTCTAGTAAACACCTGTGTTTAATTAACACCACCTCAGGATGCATTTTACACTGAAACCTGTATAGAATCCTTTCTCTGTTTTACTGTACATGTATCTATTTAAAAACTAATGCTAGTGCATTTTTCAAATTCTAAACTTAATTGAAAGACCATGAGAAACAAAACTTTATTAAATGTACTCTGAATAGGAGAATCTGTGTTGATGACCCAATGACCCATGTCATGGCCTTAAGTGGGATTAAAGCATATGATTCTTTGACTGAAATCCTGATTGATTGGCTGGATTTTGACTGATCTATTCATGGTTTCTACTAAGGTAAGGTAAAATAATTATCATTACTTGTGCAAATGAAACTTTCTTTTGAAGAAGCAAAAAACTAAATGAAACAGTTCTAATTAATAGTTTGTATATTTTCAAAATAAAATATTTATTCAGTACACAAATAACGAATACACATTGCCTTTCACTTAGGTAAGACTCATATCATAAATCATATTGAAAATTAACATCAATCTGCTTTTATGCGAGTCAATTCAATTATTAGATCTAGAAGTTATGTTATTTTCCTTTTACAACAGGCAACAGAGCACTCGAAATGTAATCGGGAGGTTGTGGGTTCAATTCACACCTAGGTGGAGTGACTTTTTCACATCAGCTCTGAGCATAGAATTTGATCCTATGTTTCAAATTACTATAACTATACTATAACTAATCATGATTTATTTATCTGTCTTTCAAGTTCAGTGTTTGGTTCTTATATGAGTCTGAAGATGAGTCTTTTGGCGAAATAATTTGTTACAATGTGGGCAAACAAATGGTTTTACACCAGTATGGATCTGCCAATGTCGTGATAGGTTTGAACTTGAATTGAATGCTTTACAGCAAAGTGTGCATGTGTATCTCTTATAGTGTGGATCACTAGCAGTGCCTTGTCCAGATTCTTGTCTGTTTGAGGCTTTCCTTCTTTGTCCAATCTTACACTTAATTCCAATGATGGACTGATGCCCAGACAACTCGGGAATTCTGCTCGGACCTAAAAACAAAAAATGTTTTTATTTAATAGACAAATGAGTGGTAGATAAATATGAAGGAAGAATGTGAAAGGCTGCTCACACAATGTGTATAAATGAGCATAGTGTTTAAAAATCATTACCCACTGTCCTATCCTGTCCTGTCCTGTACTGTACTTTACAGTGCTTCTCATGATGTAAAATAAAATGAAATCATTTTCTAAATCTTCAAATTATTTGAAGATTACGATTTCAAATGTTCCTATCCAGGGGTTCATTTTTGGAAGAATTGTAACTTTATTAACATCCACACAAACTAACACATGACTTAAGTACAGCATTTATTAATTCTTCAATAGTTCTGGTGATTTAGACAAAATTAACATTTAGTAATTATAAGTAATTAAAAGTCATGAAATGTTAGTAACAATGTTCTAAGTATTTTTTTTTCTTTTTAGATGTAACTTACATCTAACAAACTAAGAACAACGCTTTTTGTATTATCAATTATAAAAATTATGCTTAATTATTAACAAGTCTTTCTAAACAGAAAAACAATGATAATTATTACACTTTGAAGAATAAAGTTATTAAAAGCCATTATTAAAAGTAATTAAAAGTTAAGAAATGATTATATTTACAATGTTTAAATATTTCTTTTTCCCCAACTTACATCTAATAACAACATCTTAGTCCTTATATACATAATCTGTTGCAAAAATTATGCTTACTTATCAACAACTATTAACAAGACACACAATCATAATTATCTTACATTGAAGAGCAAAACAGCTATTATGTAATTTTCCCAGCATGCAAAAAACCTAATCAAACCTTGGAACTGGTCTGCACTTACATCTGTAAAAATTTGAAGCTTAATGGATGAGCGGTTTTTCTAGAATTTTGATGACAATATTTATGTGATACCCACCTAGGCAGATGCATGCCCAACCACACAAGGTGATGGGGGCATGCAGTATCATGCAGTATTACACCAAGTGATTTAAGCCATATTTGGGCCAACATTGTCAAATGTGAACCCCCCTGGAAATTTTTGAAAACTGAACCCCCCCCCATTGGCAAATCCTGGCTATGGGCCTGTGTAATGTATATCATTACAATATGTGTTTATTGAAAAATATACTTTTAGGATACATTTTTGGTGAATTAACTAAAGAATAAAAACTAAATCTACAGTAATTCATGTGCCTTAATCTACATTAATTCATGTGCCTAAATATACATTAAAATATGTGCATAAACTATTGGTAACTCACGTGCCTAAATCTACAATAATTTATGTGCCTAAATCATTGGTAATCCATGTGCCTAAATCTACCTATCAAACTCTTCAGCTTCTGTTCAAAGTCATTGTATCAACATAAAAAATAGAACTACTTTTCTAAAAATCCTGTGCAACTATGTACAGGGCGTCCCGAAAGTATATACATATACCAATTTCCCCATGGTATGTGTCACATATCATTTTAAAGCTTATCCAAAGTTACATTGATTTGCAAAGTATTATGGTTCAACTCACAAATGGTAAAAAGTTACAGGCATTTCACAACTTAGTGTTTGGCCAAAAATATAGTTCATTTTAGTATCCTGGAAACAGCCCTGACCTGAATGTGACCGAAAATGCTATTGTGCAAAATAGGATGGATATTGAATTCTAAAAGATGACGTTGAGGGTAGATACTCCAAGGAAACTCTTCTAAAATGCCTTAAAAAGGTTTTATGAGGATTACAAATTGCCACATCCCTATTTAAAGCGTGTCATATATGGAAAGCATTACTGCTGTTAACATGGTGGCTAGGGAGATACACTGGCTATTATTTTGGTGTAAAACTGACTTCAATTTTGGCCAAACACTGAATTTTAAAATGCCTGTAACTTTTTCCCATTTGTGAGTTGAACCATGATGCTTGGCAAATCAATGTAACTTTGGGTGAGCTTTAAAATGATATGTGACACATACTGTGGGGGCATTGGTATATGTCTGCCTAGAGGGGCCCCATACTTTCAGGACACCCTGTATATCTCTCCAGTCATATTTTCATGTGTCGCCTTAATCTCTCCAGTGCAATCACATGAATGATTGCAGTGAGTATTTGCCTTTGTCTTCGTAATAAAATTCTCTTAGTAATATTTACTATTTCCCTACAGTCTCTCCAAGGACATGGCTATAACTTTCAGCTATTTCTCTGATCAAGCCTTATATTACATATATAAATACAATCTCTCCAGTATGAAGGACTTGAAGACATGGCTGTGGCTTCAGAAGTTGTTTGACTTCAAGTGTTCTCTATTGTGAGATATTTCATACATATATCATTATATCATGAGTGTTCTCTCCAGTATGGAATTTTATCACTGAAGGGCAATGCCATGAGTACCAGTAATGTGAAGCCTCAAGTGTTCTTTACGATGATATTTTTTATCACAAAGTCCACATGTGTACCTCTTGGCCTCTTCCCCAAGATGAAGTTTCTGATGACGTGTTAGGTTACCTCTAATTGTGAACGATGCATCGCATTGGTCACAATATAATCTAAACTTAGAATTTTGTTTTTGAGACTTTGAGTCTTTGTTCATCTTTATCTTTTTGGTTGTCTTTATCCTTTTCTTCTTGCCAATCAATTTAGGAGATGGACTTGTATCTTTGTTCTGTCCGATGCTGGGGTTGCTTGATGAAGGGTTACATGTATCTGCTTTTCCAGACATGGGACTGGCAGCACTGGCTTCAGAGGACCTTGGCTCTTCAGACCTCAGCTCATTTGGCTTTGTGTCATGAGACTCCGTGTTATGAGGGTCTAGGTCATTAGTCCTGGTGTCTTCAGGTTTACTGTGTTTTTCTCTCAGTTTCTCCTTTGGCATATCTGCAATTAAAAAAAACATTTTATTACTATTGTCTTGAAACAAAAGTATAAAATCTCGAACTCATTATTGTAGTTGAAATGTGGTAAAAAGGGTTATTTGGTGATCATTGTAAATACATCATCTCATCCACAGAAAATCTTTATAAAATCATATAATAACAAAAGTTGATTCATTACATCTTGCCAATTCATTGCACTTGGAATTAACAACTTATACAAATTGTGAACATCATTAAATAAATCTTGACTACTCCTACTGCCCTACACTACATACTTTTACTCTGAAATCACAATACTGACAGGTACTTGTATGTATTATCACTACCAGGCAGTGTAAAGGTATGGCTCTATACAGTACTACTCATGTCAGTAATAGCGTAAATTGATAGCACACCCTTAATACAATAAATGGATGGTACATAAAGTTGTTATACAATATACAGCACTGTTTAGGTCTGCAGTACCACATTTTGGTACTGTTCCGAACAGTTTTGCTGTATAACATTAATGGCACATATTTCTAAACTATAACTGATCATGTTTCAAGTAATTCTATTTATTCATTCTACTTTCTACTTTTAATTAATATAAACAATTTACACAAACAGGTCAAAAAGGTGACACATATTCAAAAAGGTGACACATATTCAAACAGGTGACACATATTCCCATTTATATCTATATATGGATGGATTGAGGATCTGTGTGTGTTAATGTTTTCCATTTATTCCTTCTTTGTTTGTTTTTTGTCAATTTTGAATAAACTATTTACTAAAACCCCGTGGCAATTGCATCTCTCATTGCATCATCTCAGCTCATTAATTTCATTTTAAAATAGTCTTTGAAATAATAATTTCCAATTAAAGGTTGAGTATGTAAAACAGTCAATATTAAAATCCTGAGAAGTTTAATCAATTAATTGGTTTACCCAGTCTGCCAGTATGACCTTTCTGGTGTCTCATTCCATTGTAT